AGATAGCCCGCGTATAGCTTTGCGCGAAATTCAAAAACAAACAAACAAGACTCTTTAAAAATAAAGAATTAGTAAGAATATATACATCCTTTAAAATAAATGATAGGGGCAAATTAAAGTAAGACGAGCGAGTTTTCTATACAACTTCCACAGTTCAATACCTTGAATAATTTATTTAACGTAATTATTCAAAGCTCGTTTAATACTTCATCTACACACTAAATAATTATAATCATCTATTCCAGTGACGTGCACAGGGGGAGTGGCTGGGTAGGTTCAAGCCCCTGATTTCTTCCTCTTATGTCCCAAGAGTGCCCTTTTTATTAGTCATAAAAATTCGTCCACAACTACTAGAGGGTACGTCTGATTCTACAACTTTGAAATGAATAGTACAGTAAAAAAAAATAACTGTGTTATGCTGTTATGTGTTAATAAGCAAGAATTTAGTGTGTAGTTTTAGATTTTACAAGTGTTCATAAGACCGATTGAATAGGAATAAAAGAGGGTCTGTTTGTTTTTCCTGGCGGTCAGTTTTGTGCTCCTTACCTTATGAAAAACAATTGAATTATGAGAAAGTGTTCAGAGTGGGCTCCTAGGATGAAACTTAGGATGTAAAGGTTCTTATACGAGGACAGGTTAAGATCTCTGGACTTGTTTCTCTTAAAAAAAAGAAGAGTTAGATTTAAGTGTTTAAGATTGTTAAGGGAATTGATAGTGTTGATGTATCATCTTTTTTCATATTTAAAGATTAGAATGGTTTGTTTGTTATTAAGTACAAAACTACATAATGGACTATCTGTGCTCTGCCCACCGCGGGGTATAGAAACCTGAATTTTAACGTTGTAAGCCGCGTGACTTACTGCTGAACTACTGGGAGCAGGTGAGAGTGACAGAACTAGGTAACACAATTATCAATTTTTGCAGGGTAGGAGTCATCTTCAGCTAAGACAGCTTTGTCTTTCTAACAGGGTGGTTGGCTTTTGGAATGGGTTGCCTTCAGATGTGGTGGATGCAGTTAGCGAGTTAGTGTAGAATAATCCATTCTTGACTTAGCGTGCTAGCATATAATAATCCATTCTTGACATAGCGCGTTAGTGTAGAATTATCCATTCTTGGCTTAGCGCAGGAACACACCTTACGTTTCTTTCACAAGATACTAGTTCGATTAAATAAATGTTTAAATTGGCGATCGGAAAATGGTAACAGTGGAGTTTTCGCCTAGCGAATGTTTCCACGATCCGTAATCGATAAAGTGTCTTTATGCTGTTAAATTTATGTTCCAAGATATGAAATTTTAATAATAGGTGTGATATGATTAGGTTCAAATACAAGTACTTTTCTATACACGTACTTTTTGTAATTATACCCACTCAAATTCGCACTTATTCATCAAACTAACTTTCACCATCTATGTAATCCATTCAACTTTTCATTATCGTTCAACAAATTTTACTCATCTCAATATGTGTTACTTCTTCTTACTGCTTTTACACAGAGAAACATTGAATGAATTTAAATAACCTCTAGACCATGTTTCTAACTCATCTATCGTCACATTTTTATATCAACTCGTTCTACTACCGTGAGTAGTCCAAGTTGGTACAGGTTTGTTGGGCATTGGGCAGAAACAAGTATCAGCTATTGGTCGATAGCTTCAAAAATTAAACGTCAAGGCTAATTCACAGATCTTCCTACAAGTAGCTTACGTATGATAAACCTGTTCTACACTGTGAGATTTTAAAACTTCTAAAGTTCAAAGTTGTTCAAAAACATCTAGTAAAATATACGAGGGAAAATTCAATGTAGACCTGAAAGCTTTTGTGATAATTTTAATCAAAGCTAAAAGGTGGTTAGATCCCACAAGGAAAGATAGGGCAAGGTACATGTGACCAAATGAAGAAGCGTGGCTTAAATGTACAACAGAAACTCGATATCTTTATTATCATATTGTTACGTATCTGCTCGTTTGTTAATTTCTGGTATAAATTCTTTCCGAGGAACTTCAGCGATACAAGTCCTTTCTTAATTAAAACTAGTTTATTCTTTCTTGATACAACTTTTTAGTACACAGAATTTCCACAGTCACTTTAAACTTAACAACCTTTATAACACACTCTATAAATCACAGTGATTCACACACTTTACTTACGGTGCCTACTGTTCGTTTGACTCAGTTATTTATATCTTCAATCTATCTGCATATCTATCTATCGCTGGCTTTATTTGCCGGGCTTATATACTAAAAAAGTGGGCGCCTGGCAAACTCTCGGACATTCGCGAGGTTTCTCGATAAGTCATGATCCTTCTAGAAACTCCAGCGCGAATGCTCCTAGCGTCGCGTGACTTCCGCTGTCGTAACAATATGCATTGAACAAAAATTAAAACGCAATATTGATGATAAAATGAATAGCGATTGAAATTAGTCCAAAAATATACTGAACTCAGATATAAAATGGCAAACTAAAACCAACACAACAACAGAGGAACAAATATACAAGTGAACTTCGATTATCAGAATTAAATAAAGTGAATTTATGACGAACACAATATCAGCCAGCAGAACTGTAGTTTCATGGCTTACTAATGATACTTGTCAGTTGAGGAAACTTATCATTTAAGGTATTTCTCTACCTAGTGTGCAACATCAAAAAGGTAAATGCCAATCTATACAAATGACTCAAAGGTTATTGTTTAATATAACATGAGACTGGTACCAACATAAAGCATACGTACAGTTCCAGCTTTTTCACTGACTTGCAATAGAATTATCAGATCCAATTACACGATCAAATATCATAGTAAACTTAATATGGACGACGTAGCAATAACTGAACTTTAAACACCAAACTTCCTGTATCATTGATAATTGAACAAAAGAATGATAAACATTTAAACTAAATGTTGCACGTCGAACTAGGTTACACTCAAAATTAATTTATCTCTAAACAGTGGTAAATTAATTACACCACAACGCGATAATATATCGCAAGTGGACAAATATTAAGTAAATTTTAAACTTTTAACTATACACACAAATGTATAAGCAACCCCTTTATAAGCACAAACAATTCAATACTTTATATTAAAAGATTTTAGGCCTGGCATGATTGGTGTTTAGGGCTCTCGACTCGCAATTCAAGGGTCGCGGGTTCGAATCCCTTTCAACGAATATGATCGCCCTGTCAGCCGTGAGGGCGTTATAATGTATATAACGTGACGGTCGATCCCACTATTCGTTGGTAAAAGAATAGTCCAAGAGTTGACGGTGGGTGAAGTTGACTAGCTGCATTTTTTCTAGTCTATCATTGCTAAATTAGGGACGGATAGCGCAGATAGTCCTCGCGCAGTTTTGCGCGAAATTAAAAACAAACCAAACAAAAAGATTTTGGAGTCTCACCAAGTTAAAATCCATGTAATCAGCCCTGCTCATATTCTTTGAAACAACC